CATTTTTTGTTTTCCAGTACCAAGAATCAAACCCAGGACCTTGTGCTTGCCAGGCAGGTGCTTGTGGCTCTGAGCTATATTGCCAAACCTTATGATCAAATTAACATTTAAAAAATATTGAAAAAAAATATTGTTGAAAGTGCAGAATGGAAGATAGATTAGCAGCAAACACAAGATGGGACCTAATCTCAGTGAAGATGTGGGTAACATTTCCCAGCTAAGAAGAGTCAGGGTAGATCATGATGATCATAATTAAAATCATGGATGTGTGGGTGACTTCACAAGAGAGGTTTTTTGATGTCAGTGTCTGCAGTGGAAGTCAGGTATGACAAAGGTCCCAATGGCTGCAGGAAGGAGAGTGCTATTGGGAGAATACAAAGGACAGGGAGAAGTAAGATAGCAACCAGCAAGCTTGGCTTTCACGGATGCCAAAGCGTGGGAGGATGTGAGCAGGGGATGATCAGCACTGTGAACATGCCAGCGATGAAAAGTAAGACACTTTCTTCAGAGTGTTTATGATGCCGGGGACTCAGGGGGTTACTGCTGATTTGTGTGGAAGATTGTGGCTGATTGGTAGGGGTTAAAGGCACACGACAAGGAATAAATGAGAGAAGGTCCTGGTGGTGGGGAAAAAGAGTGCAGTACAGATTATAATTCCCAGAAATTTGACTTTATGTAATAGGGGAAAATGAGTTCACAAAGTAAAGAAAAATTTTGGGTTTTTGTTTTAAAATGGAAAAGACTTGAACATATTGCTGCTATGAGTACATCTCTTAGACCCCAACAAATGGAGTTACTGCCCAGTGCACCTTCAAAGTCCCCTGCTTGTGTGTTGGCCCCACTATGTACCAAGTCACGGAACCTACAGGTAAAAGGCACTGAGTGACCATGAGGGTTCTGGCTCCAATCCTCTCAGATCTTCAGAATAAGAAGAATAAGAAGTCTTTTTTTTCCACTGCTACTTCTTTCTGATGTGTTGACAATTTTCCTTATTTGATCTATGGATTATTTACGTTATTTTTAAATATTTGAGGATTTTATAGAGTTTGTTATTTTATTGATTTCTAATTTAACTTAATTATGATCAGAACATTTTTTGATGCGAATGCTTTTGAATTCACAGAGGCTTGCTTCATGGATAGGCTACATGGTTTGTCTTGGTGAACTGTCTGCTGGAAAAAATGTGTAGTCTGATGTTGAGTGGAGTGTTTCATAAATATTCCTGCTTACATTTGTAATTAGGTTGTTTTAGTTGTTCCATAGTTCATTGATATACCTTTTTTAATTATTAATTTTTAATAATTTTAATTATTTTTTCTTAAGTATGTTTCATTTTTAATATTTTTGATAACTGTATTCTCAAGTTTACTAATCTTTTATTTTGTGATATCTGGTCTACTCATAATCCTATTCAAGGTATCATTTTAATTCTGTCATTCAAGTTTTCATCTCCATAAATTAGATTTAGGTCTTTGAAAAAGTATCTCTCTTGTCTCTTCTAAACTTTATGACACAATATGAAACAATTTATTGATCTCTGCAAATTCTAACATACTTGTCAGTTCTGGTGCAATTTTACTGTATTAATTACTCCCTTGTGCTTGGTATCTTTGCTTGCATCTTGGTAGTTTTTAATTTGTATGTTTTGTAATGTTTGATTGGATGCCATACATTGTGAATTTACCTTTTCCTCTGCTAGATATGT